AGATTAGCAGGTTCTATTCTGAAAGATGGAATGACACCACCAGTACCAGGAACTTCGAATTTTATCACGGTGATGCCAAAAAGGTGACTTCCGGGATTATATGTGGCAAGTTCAATGATAACTGCTCTTGTTCGGTGGTCTATCCATCCCTGTTCACGAAGTTTCGCGGCTTCTTCAAGGAGCTGTGATATACTTCCACGAAGTTCGTGGACATAACCACCACCAGAATAGATACCCAATCCACCTTGAACTAGAAAGCCATCCCTTTCCTCGGCTTTTGTGTAACGATATTCAAGTTGAAGTCTGTGATGATCCAATGTTGTTGGGATCCATCCAGGAAGATAATCAGATTCATCCTGATCCCAAACGTGATATTGACTACAGCAGTCGTTAAATAGGGTTCGCATTTCCTCGACGACTTTGCAGGTTTCTTTTCAAAGTCCCAAAAAATGAATTATTTATTTTTAAGTCATGCTCTTGAATGAACAAAATTGAGGAATGCAATTTTCCGGCTTTGGATTCTTAATCATTACTTTAATCGCGTATTCGTTCTTCTAATTATGCACTTATGTACGAATAGAACCCACCTGTAGATAGATTTGACTCAATTGTTGTCAATGGTAGAACGATGAAAATACGAAACAGAGTGCCCATTTTCTACATTCATCAGGGTAGAAAAGCACTAAGTACTATTTGGGGTTAGAGTGGCTATTTAGATATTATATAGTGGGATGTGCATAGACTTAACTCAACGTGATGTACCTAAGGAAACGTTTACTCACGAAAAAGGTTTATAAATCGGCGCTTGACTTCAAATCACCATGAGCCATCTGTAGGTCATATTCCACCGCTTACACAGTACTCATCTTATCTTTTCTATCTGTCTGTTCCACATCTCGACTTCTTCTCACTTCAATGTTCCTCCCCTCTGTAGAGCCCAATGTCAGCTAAAGTGCTAATGACAACTATCTTAAAACCAGAAATTTGATATAAAAAAATATTACCAACGTGATAAAATATTGAAATGTGATAACACCCTTATGAGAGCCAGATTCCATTATATATACTACCATTCAACCAGCCAGTGGCATTATCGAGTGGAACATTTAACTATTTCGATTGACCGGATTGTAAGCGTAAATATTTTGTTCTGATATGGATAATAGCAAGCGTTATTTTTTGGTTGTGAAAAAATCAAATTGACAGCAGACAATAAAAAGGGGAAATGATTATCCTACTTACTGATATTCTCCACTGTAGGGCAACCAAGACAATACGAGCAGAATTAAGTAGTTCAAAATAAATGAGATTAGCCAATTAAATTCACGTCATAATTGCACTCTTGCGAATGACTACAAACTCAAGTTCAGATCGACTACTGACAAATCAGTTCAATGTAACCACATATTTTTAGAGGCATTAGAAAACCAACCTTCACGAACTCGAACTTGGCGCATTGTGGCATATCCCATAATTCGATTCATACGGTCACCAATTAAACTACGTTGTCCTATTGGTGGCATACCATTATACCACTTGCCAGCTCTTAGATTCGGCAGCAGGACCTTCTCTAGCCAATTCCAAATGCCATCAATGGAATTAATCTAAAACAAGCATAAATAAGTGTTAAAGCTTCGCTGTTTTGAATTCCATTGATTATGAAAAAGATTCCAGCTTATGTTTACGAAATCGTCACCATTGAAGAAGATAGAAGTGAGGCTTTCCCTTAATCTCATTGCCATGGGATCACGGAAACCATTTGAGACAATAACGAGGAGGGTAAAGAAGACGACGAAGAAAAGTAATTCGCGAAGCATATCGAACATTTGGCGCGTTTTCTGACGATGAATTCGAGCTCTTTCCAAGGTTTCTGGATCCGGAGGTCTAATTAGGTAGGTTTCAATCCTCCCTCGAACTAAAATGGGGGATGAAGTGCTTCACTGGTACTCCTACTTCTACTACGACGACGATGATGACTTACGAATTTCCTCATGTCGATACTCCTCCCCATAATTAAGTCGGTATCGACGTCCCAGTTTGTCCATCAGTGATTCATCTTCCTCTGCAAATTCTACAATGTCTGAAGTGCCTGCTTTCGACCTACAGATCACAGCGAAGAATATTGCGAAGAGTATGACCTAGGAGGAGTTAAAATCCATTAATACTAAATACATTCTACTTATAGGTGCATGGTAGTTAAGAGACACACTTTAATAGGTTGTGTCAGGCAAAGGTCCATAAAGAAGGAAACGAAGAGAGAAGATAGCCACTGTTTGCAGGCAGCATCACCAAAACTGATTCCGTAGAAAGTGGTGAAGACAACCGACGCTGCAATAGCTCCAATAAGGAGGAACCAAGCGAGAATGCGCATTTGCCAGGGAAAAGAAATGTCTCCAAGCTTGCTCTTCAATGATTCCTTGCTCTTTTCCTCTGTTTCCTTCTCAAACACCTCTGGTGTTTCTGAATAGGACTGTCGATGTTGGTTAATGTGGGCACTAATATAAAAATATTTTCTCTATTATATTTAAGTGCAAACAATATTGTTAATTTTAACAATTATTTAAATTCTAGAATTTCAAATTAGACTGGCATCAACAAAATGAGCTCATTGGAAATTTGGGTAACTGGTTCTCACAATCTTTTTCCTAAAACGGTTTTGTTCTCCTAAAAAGGTGTAGTTGCATATGATTTCATAAAACTCTTTTAGATTGACATGCTCAAAGCCAGGTTTTAGCTTCCAGGATCTGGTTTTGGTTTATTAACTCCCAAATTGAAGATCTCGAATCTTGTGGCCTCAACAATATTATTGAATAAAGTTGACATTCGAGTTCTATGCGAATGTTTGCGTTTAGAAACATTGAGAGTTGGTTTCCGATTGACACCATATATGTCTATGATCAGAACGATTTCAACAGTTATTCTCTAAGCGACTCATCAGTCTTGTGAATATGCGGGAAGGAACTTGGGAGTTACTTGTCGGTCGCTTATTTTGTAATTTCAACGACAGTAATATAAAGACGGTTTGTACTCACAAATCGTCTTTGCTGGATTTATCGAGTGTCTAATGGAGACTTTCGCATTATTTCTAGCCTCATTCAGTGCCTGTGGAAACCATAGTCTCACAATATAACAAGAACTACAATTATTGTAAGAATGTGGAAACGCTTTTCAAAAGATAACAATGAACGACGGTTAGAAATTGTGCTCCAAGTGTCATGAGTGTTCACAACACAAAACGCACGAGTGGTGTAGTTGTGGTCTATTCTCCCTTATAGTATTCTCATAATCGTCATCTTCCAATTCTTCATCCAGATGATCTTCCACAACACCCCTTAGCAGAGTTATATGACTGACCCGAAGCTTGGAGTTCCTGAAGAGTAGCATGATCAGTGTGACAGGAACAAAGGTTATGAGATACGTTACAGCTCCCGTATAGGCCTAAAGTCAAGGCAGCAAATGTCATAAGGGTGGGGACATTGAATGATACTTCCTAAAATGGAAACTCAGACTAACCACATAGGGTGTAATGGCAAACGGCCCAATCGTGAATTCGAAATCAACAACTTCCGGCCCTTCATTTCTGTAAAACATGCAAGATGAGACCATGGTTAAGAAAAGAATTAAAAGACAGCAGGCGACTCTTTCAACACGAGTGAATCGGGAGTGAGCAGGACGTGTGAAAATCGAAGCCCAGAGGTGGTTATCGCTTGCATCACTCTTCACCTTGTGCGAGAATATATAATAGACTCGAAGTCTATCAATTGGTCCTGCGACTGGAATTACGCGGTCAACCTAAAACGAATACGCTTAAAGAAAACCAAAATTGAAGGAGGGATTGAAGATGAGGACCACTCCCTACCAGACCATCGCCTTCATCTACACCAAACCACTTTTCAACAATGAAGTTGAAGCGAGTTTTTGTCTGCAGATCGATGACGCAGACGAAATCGCAGTACCATGATGCACTATCCCCTCTCCCGCGGTTGTCATGCCACAGTCGGAGGAAACGTAGGTCACCAAGTGGTCTGAAATGTAAATAATCAAGGATTGAGCAGAATCGATCGTTGAAATTCCATTCTGTTAGAAATAATGCTTACGGATTTTCCTCTTCTTTTGGATTTAATAAACCGTATCTGATGTACATGTGTGAGTACATTGACATAAATATTCATCCAATTCTGAAGATAACTATTACTTAATTAACAGTCATATTCCTTCCAATTACTCTAGACATGTTACAAAACCCACTTCAAGCAACCATTTTTACCAATTCCACTAGAATATGCTGCACGTTGGGATGTAACACAAAAATGGAATCAAAACATGATAGAATTCCCACCTTCCGTTATTTGTTTGTTGTGAATCTTAGTATATTTGGTGGGATGACGAAGTCGAATTGAATAATTTCGGTGCACATTGAATGAAGTTAACATGCTTCATCGTTAATGCACTACTCTACCGACCACCAAAGTTGAGCTCTCGTGCCTTGGATTAAAGTCTCGCCTCAACTACTCGAACCTTCGACAGATGGCAGCAATGTCTTTTAAACTTCGTTTGCAACGAGACACATTCCAATCTTTACTGCATTAAAGTATTCAAATCGCTTATTTACAATAATAGGCATATATTAAAGGGCAAAATCACAAATTCTTACAGGTTTATTTAGAGGTGCTATAAAGTTATCGACCTCTTGAAGTAGATAGAGGTGAAAGTGCCACTTTTAAAAAGCAAAAAGCTTTTCCCATTTAATTCTCAATCCATGATTCAACTCATTTATTACCTCAGTGTAAAATGAATCTCCCCACTAAGTGAATTGAGCTCAATAATTTCACAAAACTGGTGAGTTGAGTTCATCTTTCTTTTAACCTCTTCCAAAAGTCCTTTTATGAACACTCAAAAGTGTTTTTTGACAATATAATGCAGTGCTTCTTTAATCCGCACTTGAATAATCCCTATTCAGTAATTACCAGAAATTTACCTATCAAAGTGTTGATACATAACTTGATCCTAATCAACCTCCCATTTTGATTGGCTACATTCCACTCTATTTGGCCATCACCAAGGCAACATGCTGGTCTTAGAAAGTGCAGTGCTTTTGAACTTAGTCGCCTCAAATACAAAGCTGAAACACTCAAGGTCTTGACAATTCTAATTAGCCAATTCATTCATTTATCTGGCGTTGATTTGAAAATAAAATTGTGAGAAGCTCAGGACATTTTCTATTGACAACCTGTTTTACAAATTTAAGGGTTCTATAAAAACCAAGTAGTTGATTTTGTTAGAATCCATTGTTATGAAGAGAGATCTTTTAATAGTGTTTCGAAATGTGATATTTTCAGAGAGAACGCATATCGGTAAATTGCCTTAAAGTTAAATAAACCCCATTTGACTTAACTCTTGTAACATTCATTATCTTCCTGAAATTATTGAAACTTAAAGGTGAAACAACAATAAATTATGAAATTTATATCTCAATTCATATAAATTCTAATGAGAATACTTGAGATACTTTCCAAAAAAGGGCAGATTTCTGTAAAAGTAGACTCACTTTCGGGTTGCCAGAAGGAATCGGTCGACATTTCCTCGAGATAGAACTTGGCGGTGAGGATCACGAAGTGTGCAAGGGAGAGTACCATCTTTGGTTCCATTCAGTTGCATACATACCGTCGATTTAGTCCCTGCTGATTTTCGCATTCCTGTGCAAACTAATATCTCGTAGAGATATTCGTCTGCTGGATTATTCTCGGCTAACGGCGTGATCCCAAGCTAGAAATCGATTGATAAAGGCTAGATAAGGCCCAGATAATGTTTATGCTTCTTAAGAATGCCTCACGGAAAACGTTCTTCGGAGCCTTTGACTACCAGCTTTTCCAGCACCCATTTTGGGTAGAGGTGAGATCGTTGAACCACCTTAATGAAAGAACACGAATGTTGCACCACTATTTACTAGCTCGACTTGACCGGAACAGTTAGATCAATCCACTCACTGATGATAGACGAATAAGCATCTAGTAAGCATCAATCACATTCTCAATTGTTTTTCGATCTTCTAAAACAAATTTCAGCATGTTCACAGCTCAAATACACTGTAAATACAACGGTTTGTAAGTTGTGTTGGCTGAATAGAACTCATTGGAACAAGATGCACCTACTGCAAACTCTAATGCCAATTAGGCAATTGACAACAATGAAAATACGATAGCAACAGTAGGTAGTCTTTGGCATTTGAATTGAAATCGAAACAATGCATTTGGTTAGAAAATTGATTTGCGACGTGATGTGAAACCTCATGTTTTTGAAACATGATGCATATAGGAAATGCAGAGTGGGGTGTAAGAGATTCACAAATATCTAAGGATGGGTAGCCAGTTACCAGGTTCTAGTTAGGCTTGTTTTCAACACAGTTCAAATAGAACCCACATGGAGTTCTTGTAGAATATTGACAGGAAGACTTGATTTCCATTGTGCTCTGAGGTCACCTTCACTTAACCTCACAACTAAAAATCACTTCACGCAATCATCATAGGATACTGGAGAGTGAATTGGTGAAGAAATTGGCATCACATTCAACAATTGGGACATAACACGAAAGATCTGAACTGGATATGTTGTGTTTCAAGTAGATCCTCCTAATTGAAGGTGATTTGAATTGCGTGATTTGGTAAATTCAGTCCCGAAGCCAAAACATTACCACTCACAAACCAAGTTGCAATTAGGGCAGACATGTCTCTGACCCCTCCATTGAGTAAGCAAAATGTTGAGTTCTGTTCAGAAGCAACCCATCTACAAGAGAATCGGATTATTCTCTTAAATAAATAGAGTGCCGTATAATGGGTTTTTTTGTCCAAAATATGTAGTTGCAATTTCGGATTGCATCCATCTATTAGTGGATGTAGACATTCCCATTGGAATATTCCCATTTTAAACACTGCACAATGCCTATGATCCACCATCTATTGTTTATGTCATTAAATTTATTTCTAGGGCTATAAAGAAAGGAGTAAACAAATGATGATTTCACTTGAGGGGGTGTAGGTAGATGCTGCTTTTCAGCATTTCAGGGAACGTGCAAATTGGTATCCACAAAGCAAAGTGTACTTGAATTGTCATTATAGAGTTTGATATTATTACGTCTATCACACAATAAGTCCAAAGATGAGATAGTTGAAATCATCACTTTTGTGCATATTTCATTCCTCTATATGATGCAATCGGCATATAATTGATTGATTACTCTCAATTTCAACAGACTTACAGCATTTTCACAGTTGCTTCGAGAGATTAATATGAGGTTTGCCATTTGATGTAGGCTTCTATTATGGGCTAGACATCAAACTCACAAATCTTTCAAGAAGAACTGGACAGAGGAAACGCTCTGATATATACTTACATTTTGCAATGACCTTTAGGGCTCAACTGTGAGATGAAGGGAAGATGGAGGAACATGAAGAGTTTGAGTGTGTCATCAATTGGATGATGATGCAGTAATAGATGCAAATAATTTCGATGAGAAATAGCACACCCTTGTAATTTTCAAGTATGTAGTTATATCTGTCCCAATGAATACTTCCTTTCCATTTGCTTTCACGCACTAATATCGGCTTCACACACACACACAAACATGTGTCTCCAAATGCACTGTTAAAGGGGAAGGGGGGGGGGGTACAGGAGTCGGCACATTTTAGCTGGGAGGTGAGTTGGTGTGGAGTCGAGTAGAGTGGAGTGGAGTGGTGAGGCTAAACATTGAGTCAGCCGCCACTTTGTTCAACTCCCCCCACAGTTAGACTTACAATTAGGATTAGAGGGAAAGTGAACAAGTCACATCTTCCACTATCATACGAATGTTTCACTTCTCCACATTCCACATCACCTTCCACTTCACACCTTAACACCTCCACACTCAATCCCGATTCCATCTATCTTCATGTGCCGCTTTTAAAGACTTCGAAAAAGTCCTCAGCCGTCATCGACTCACCTCCAAGAGGTTTATACCATCATTGTTCACCAATTTGTCTTTTAGACTGACTGACCGAATGCAGGCTATTATGGTGCCCGCTTCATGCATTTCATTTGCGGTGTTCA